TAAGGTGTCAAGCGCAGAGCACTAGCCTTTTAGCTCCGGCGACGATTACTATGTATATTTTTAAAATCCATACGAAAAAAATAGAGTACTGCAGGAAATAACCGGTCACCCTAGTATTGCCTGTCTGCTAGGGAAGTTGCAATTGCTGTCCCGTAGGAGTCCAAATGTCTGGTGCCGCCCCGCACGCCTGCCAGACGTCCAATGTTCACGACCAGCTCTCCTGTGGCCATCCAGTTCCTCAGCACGTTGGCCCACCTTGACCTTGTGGATTTAAATTCGTAGTTTGCCGTCTCCTAGATGGACTGCTGTCCAAAGCTAACGGGTTCAATCTACCCGGGGAAAAGAGTTATAGCGCCCCGAAGTGAAGTGAATTATTAGTGAAGTGAAGAAGGAAACAATGAAAGAGATTATTATTAATATTGGTGCAGAGTGGACGGATCTGCAGGTGACGACAGTTAACTGAACAACCCCGCATGAGTAGACTGGGGGTGTATGTTCTAACATGGACAAAGGACAGCAGAAAAGGCACAAGGAGTTAAAAGGAATATTCCCTCATACTAATTAATCGTGTTCTCATTGTGATCTTTTAAACTTTATATGCTGTGTTGGTGTTTCACCACCTTCAATTCTTTAAAACTGTCTGCACTCGTTGCTTTGATGGTTAGCTTTCATATCCATTTCAATATTGTTGATGTATTCTAGCATTTGTTGCCTAGCTACTTTTGTAGCTTCTTTACATTCTATTCGATATTTTCCTCGATTTCCTTTGTTTCTGGTATCAGCCATGTCTGCCTGGAATGTTTCTTTTTTCTTACTTACTGCTGCTTTACATTTTTTATCGAACTATTTGATATTTCTATTTATGGTGAACACACCTACACATTTTTCTGCAGTGGTCTGAATTATATCCTTAAAAAAGATTCATGTTTGGTTAACGTCTGTATGTGACGGATTCTGTAATGTTAAATGTTACGTTTTCATTCATCTGTAAATTCCTCTGGTATGGATGATTTTCTTATTATTTCTCTATGGATGTGATCTTTGCAACTTGATGTAGAAAAATCTCTTAAACTTGATTTTTCATTTTGCACCAACCAGGTAGTGGTCACTATGGCACTCAGCTCTTCTGTAGTAAGATATAGTAAAGATCCAGCTCTTCTGTAACTTCTAGGTAATGTATCCGATGCATTTTATTATTTATTAGAATGTGATCTGTTTAATAATTCTAAGTTATCTTGTCACATGATGCCAGCATTTATGTATTTTTTTTTTTTGAAATCTCGCGCTACTTATTTGTAGTCCTTTGGCTACTGAGAGGTTGATTAATCTTCAATCACTACCGTTTGGAACTGTATGTAGGCCTTCTGTAACAGAGTACATTTTAAGAGGATGGGGGAAGGGGGGGGATAGAGGAAGAAGAGAAGATATATACAAGTAGAGAGACAGACAGACGAGAAGAAATAATAGTTAAAGGATGTATAAGAGGACAATAGGTTCTCACAACTAACAATCATGTTTATTAAAGAACAGAATTACAAAGTCGTATATCTAATAATACACAACCAAGATGACCTTGATGCAAAAGTTCTTACACTAAGTTATAAACACAACGTCCTCACACTATAAAACTCAGCAACTAACAGCAGAATCTACTCTACTCAACGATAAACTAGCCTAGAATATCCTTCATTGCTCTACAAATAATAAGCCAAATAACGACTACAATCTAGCCATCTACTCCATTTCCAGATACCGACTGCCATCTAACCATACTGCCGATCGCAGTATAGAAACCACTATTTGCCAACCCAGTACTACCATGACATAAGCTGCCATGTCACCTGTTAAATATCTTCAAACAACACATTAGGTTCACAGTCCATATCAACGTGAACAACGCAACAACAGAAATCTTATTTTACACTGCAAACAACTGCCCTTCTTCATACAAATAGTTCTTACTTTAAACAGGCATTCTTATACCCTTGAATAAACCTCCATTCACTAACCCACATGTAATTCTCATTCAACACGTATTACTATGTATAAACTATACATGCACTGTTTACTTTTACCACACGAATACCCATGCAATTCCTCTTTAACGACAACAGTCTAGCTACAGACCTAACCTTGTGTCCCTCACTCACTCAACATCTGATAATTCTGTCCCGCCCCTCTTCAGGTAAATTCTATTATACCCTTGTGCTCCCTTCTCAGCAGCTTGTCTAGGACAGTTCAAGCTTGGTTGCCCCAGCTAAATAACTTTCACTTTCACATTTCTTCTTACATCATTCATTCTCTCTTCAGATCACATCTAAATGTTTACAGCATTGTGACTGCATCATGGTAATACACATGGCGTTCTTATTTCCTTGCAGCGCTAACTCTGCCGTTCAATATAATACTTCACACGTCATGCTTATCTGTTATTATTACCATCACCATCATGTGCTGTGCCGGTCTTCGAGTAGTTATTATATCTTCTAACAGAAGCCTATATTCTTCATTACAACCATGACACATAATTATGCATCTTATGACATCATTGCCCGCTGCTTTCCTCCTGTATCACAATCAAAACAGTGCAGGCTGCTATGAAAGGTCATCTTAGGGCCAGCCTGTTCATTCACCACACCGCTTTCTCTACCTGTGAAAACCGATATAGGGCCTCTGACCTAAACAAGAGGAAAATCTCTGTACGCTGCATGCTCAGAACGTTTCTTGTTGTTGTTGTTGTTTGACTTTCCTTTCCCCATTGTTCCAAGAAGATGACTGCTCCCAGAAATCATGATGATAAACAGTCAGCATTGCATTTCCTATGCCTCGGTGTCCAGTTAGATGACTCGCAAGATCCAGTTAATGCATATCAGAGCAATCATCATCATGTGTCCTGCCAATAACCTATATAATACCTTATCCTACTTAATTACTTAATATGAACACAGTACTACTTATATCATCATCATCATGTAGCAGGTCCTTTGCAGAACGTCGCTCTAATCACAGTCTGCCTGAAAGAAACTCGGTCTCTCGCCAGTTCTCCTGCCTCATATACTTTCATACTTAAGAAGTCACTTTTATCCTGTGCCCATCTTCATGTAGGTCGGCCCCTGCCCCTCCTTCTTGGTACCATGCCTTCTGCTATATTTTTTTCCAATCCGTTGTGGCACTTTATATGACCAAAATATTTCAGCTTCCGAGAAAGGATGCTGTTTTTACATAACATCCATAAATGTCTCATTCATTATCTGGCAAGTTCCACAACAGAAGTATGGACTCAGCTCCATCGTAGCGACATCATCCGAATCCCCACAGCACCCTTCGTTGGCAGAGAGCGCAAGTGTCTCTGTCAGGGCTCCCTCGCAGTGTATATACCCATGATGCTACTTGGTTCTACTACCTCTCTCCTTTGTACCTGAGTTCATGAAACTGTGTCTTCTTAGGTTCATTAACCTTTCTCTTTCCCGCCAAAGATAGTTTTGCAAGCCACTTTGCATAATTGGATGGAAAAACCCGAGGAAATCTTGTGTCGTTGCCTTTGTTCGTTGTCCTGCCTCTGTTAATTTACGACTGGAATTCAACCTTAGTTAGCATTTCTTTGTAAGTTTTATCTCCCCGTTAGCCCGCAAGTTTCTAGGTCATTGAATTTAGATACCCCATTGTAAATATATAACAGAAACTTTAAGTTCATCGTTCTTTGTATGGCTTTGTTTACCCCAGCCATACTTTCATGCCTGCTACATATTTTATAGTGTTTTCTATTCCTATGTTTGCACTGAAATCTTCCAAGACAATGTGTCCCATTTTTGAGTTTTCTCTATGATATTCTCAAGGAGATCATAGCATTCTTCGTTATCTTCAGTGGGTGCATGCTCTCTAATCAGCAAGATGTTTTTTCCTATTATCCTGTTATTCGTAACTTACTTATCATATCATTAACTGCTTCAAAATGTGTAATGCTTTCCCACAACTTTTTCTTGACGACAAATCCTGTCCTTAGTTCGTGTTTTTTTTTTTTTTTTTGAGCGTTTTCTCCATACAAAATTATTATTCCATCTTCCCCTACGGTACTTTGTCCTAACCATCCTATTTCTTGAATCACTGTCATATCCTTTTTTTTTTTTTTTTTTTTGTAATTTGATTACTCATTTGTGAGTTCTTGAGCTGCTCGAGCTCTGTAAAGGGTTCGTACATTCCATGTTCTAAATCTTAAAAGTCCTTCAACGTTTCAGTTTCGATGTATGTTTAAATCCATTCGAAATCGAATTTGAAGGGACGTAGAGAGAGTGAGTGAGAGAGAGAGAGAGAGAGAGAGACAAATAGAGATACTGTATATCTATATGTCTGTCTGTACCTGCTCTTCTTCTTCTGTCTTCCCTGTCTAGGTGGTGGTTAGGGTGTTGCTCTTCTTAAACGGTTTGCACAACAACAACAAATGAGAAAATTATAATATTAAATATAAAATAAATACTTAAACAAAACAATGTCTAAACATATTTAGGTGGACCATTTAGTTCACTAAACAAAAAGTCTAATGTGCAGGATAGCTCAATCCCAACGCTCCCTCCCCCCCCCCCCCCCCCCCCCCCCCCCTCCCCCCCCCCCCCCGCTTAAAATGTTGAAGGAGTGTTCACCTTCACCTTCAACACTGTCTTTGCTAAGGAGGTAACTGGCGGCAAAACGTGGTTTCGCAGTGCACCACAATATTATCGTTCCCACTGGAAAATAGTTCTCTTTCTGGCAGCAACCTTGTTATTTACAATTCTCCTTTATGTGAACCTAGTTCACAGTAATATATAATATATTAGCAGTATTTTAACAGTATCTTGTTGGAAGATTTTTTTCCCCCGCAGTCTTCACATATGGACATGGAGCGAATATCTATTAAATGGTGGGAAGTTGTGTGTAAATAAATAAAATATAATTATATTTTATGCCTTGCGATCTAATATACATTTTGCATTCCATATTTCTTCGTTACAAGATCCAACATGCAGGGCTACGAGTAAGTGGTTCGAAACACCCTGTCGGTTCAAATGCCACTGTGTTAACAACAATGCATGTGACAACAACGGTGTATGTTCGTCAGGGTGTGAATACGGATGGTTCGGTCCATCTTGTCAATACGGTATATATTGTTTGATTTCTTGTCATTTTAATTGATTTTAAAGTACTGTATTTAGGTATGGATAGACACTGCCTTATGAAAGAAGCTGATGAAATGCAGGTTAGTGGAATTCCTAGTCCGCAGCATATAGGTTGAAATGGTATTTGTCTGAAGCAAGTGATATAATATCGAGGAGGTATATTCTCTGGGGGACACCAGACTATGTGTAATTTTCTAGGTGTTCTTAACAAAATGGTTGGTATTTATTATTTAGGGGTGCGTGTATATTTACTATTGTGTATGAATAACTAATATTTTGGACAGATATGTGTGTATGTGTCTGTAATGTCCCACCTTTTTGATATCTGAAACATTGCTGTGATTGAACCCCTTGTTAGTTTTTCAAGATTAAAGACTTCGCACCTCTAACAGCGTAGATATTATAAACACACAGACAGTTTTACATTGATTTAACCAATGGTTCTAAAGTTTTGCACTTCAAAAAGTAAACTTATTCTTATACCAGGATGGGCTGCCTGTCAAAACAATAAAATGACTTCTGGGGGATGTTCTAAACATCGTTTTTGAAATATGTGTGTGTGTGTGTGCGTGTCAAGCCTGATTGTTGTTCTCATTTATGAGTTACCTCCCATACTCTGGCGTCAGTTACCTTGCATTGCTTGAGGATACAAGTGGCGTTGGTCCGCTCTCAAATCCTTCCATAAAATGGATATATATATATATATATATATATATATATATATATATATATAATATATATATATATGTGTGTGTGTGTGTGTGTGTATGCGTGGTGTTTATTTCGCTTTATGGATTGGTGTTTTTTCTGTGTGTCAAGGTAAGAAGTGTGCTTTATTTGCTGTGTATATATTCTGTGTGCTTTAATCATGTGTCACGTAATCAACCTGTAATCAATCTGTAAAGTCTTTTACTGTGTCATGTAATCTGTTAACTCTTTTATAACAGAAAAGGAATCTTCCTAACCAACAAAAATTCCATATGCATAACGAATCATGTAGATTGATCACATTCATAAACCGTACAAATATATCATGAAATTAACTATTTACAACATTTTAGGATTCTATCAACATGAACTTTGCGTGGTGACGCGGTCTTTCTAACGTCCATAACTTAGTCTACTGATGTGATTGTACTGCTAAACGCAGTTGCCAATATCACGCCATTAATATAACTTTTGCCAAGTGCTAGCCACACGATTTGGCAATTCTCAACTCTCATCATATCTCGGACCTCGAAAATAACCGTGTCACTCTCCTCAACGTGGATATATCTCTTCATCTCAATATTATGTTGATGAACTCAAAAATACACATTAAAAAAACCCCAACAAATATTGCAATACATATTTACAGGGGTTAATTCATAAACACTGAAGAGAACTCTAAATCAGATCGCTCATTGTTGAAGGTGCCCGTTAGCATACCTCCCTAATTTAATGATATCTGCGACCATATTCAAATGTATCACCAAGCTAAGTCAGCTCATTTAGTGACTTAGAAGTTTAACTTATAATCTCCTCACGACACCAGGCCGGCATCGGCCGTACTTCGCCTCGGGTTGTCGTATGTAGCTCTCTTATCTCTTCAGTCTATCATCGCCGTCACCTGATACTTGTGACTTCTTAACGATTTCAAATCGTCGTCAACAAAACTTTATATCAATAACAGAAATGTGCTATATAAAAAGCAAAAAGAAACAAATCCAAAATGTTTATAATAAATAAAAGCGTTATCTCATCGCCTCCTCTCTCTTTTTTTAATCACAAATTATAACGTAAGTGTGCGTATCTCAACTCACAATGTATTCAACCTAACGGCTCTAGGCCGGCAATTTTCGCCGTAATTCGCCTCTCTGCCGTCATTAGGTCCTTTAATCATAATCCTCAGTGTCACCAGCTTAATCAGCTGTTCCAGTGACAGTCTTATTACACCACTTGTGTTTATTCTTCTTCTTAATCATCATCAACAAAACATCATATTAATTACATAAATGTGCTATACACAAAGCGAATAGAAAAAAGCAAAAATCCTGAAATAAAATACACATTAACTCATTGCCTTTCTTTACATCTGTCACCTCATTACTCGTGACAACTCCTTAGATTATTTTCAGTAACAGTATAGTCATCAAAGTTTACACAAATCATAACATAAAGGTGCGTAAATTTACAAAGCAAATCAAACATTGAAAAGCAAAAATCTTACTAAACAAGACAGGTTAACTCACTTCTGTCCATCTCACACCTTTTTTTTTCAACTTATAGAATGCATTCGCTTCTTTTGCCTTCATAACAACACTTATCTTGTTCAACATCACAATCAAACTTATGCACATAAATAAAAATAAAAAAAAATACACATGAACTCTTCTCGTGTCTGCAACATCAATTCTTCATGGTATGGCTTCTAAAAACATACACCAAATGAAAAAAATCTTTCGCAACCATAAATTGCATCATTATACAACTATTATTATTGTCTCTTACACATTAGTAGGCTGTTACTTAATTTGTTATCTTCTTGCTTCTTTTGATAGAACATGATCCACCTTTTATAATTATATGCCCTAATTTTTTTTTATTTTGTCTTTAACCATTACAGTTCTCTCATTGTCATTTAGTATGCCTTAACCTGCTCTCTGATACGTTATTTAATGTAAAAAAATGTGTTTTACTCTATCTTCGCTACAATTACTTGCACAAAGCTCCTTGGAGCCATTAACTGATTCATTTTAATCTGATAATGATCTTTGTCACTTTCCTGTTTATCTGTAACATTTACTGTGTTTACTAATTATCTACTACCTTCTATCTCCCGAATGTACTTCATCTGAAGAAACTGTTTTCTGAGTATGCATGTGCAAAAATGTATTCTTCATTTATTATTCTTTGTTCTCTTTTCTATGAACATCATCATTCTTCGTTTACTGAAACGACCATTTCATTTACTTGTTCTTCCTTTTCTTCTTCTTCTTCTTCTTCTTCTTCTTCTTCTTCTTCTTCTTCTTCTTCTTCTTCTTCTTCTTCTTCTTCTTCTTCTTCTTCTTCTTCTTCTTCTTCTGCTTCTTTTTCTTCTTCTTCTCTTCTTCTTCTTCTTCTTCTTCTTCTTCTTCTTCTTCTTCTTCTTCTTCTTCTTCTTCTTCTTCTTCTTCTTCTTCTTCTTCTTCTTCTTCTTCTTCTTCTTCTTCTCCTCCTCCTTCTTCTTCTTCTTCTTCTTCTTCTTCTTCTTCTTCTTCTTCTTCTTCTTCTTCTTCTTCTTCTTCTAATTTGGGTACCTGTTTACTACGTCATACTTTGTGCTGCGTTGTTTGACGTGTCTTACAAGTTGTCTGAAGATGTCATTCTGCTGGGTAATCGTAGTAAAGCTTCTTCGAGGCAACAAAATTGAGTTTCTTGAATATAAAGAAGTGTCGTTTACATTTCTCAGATGCTTGAAAGTTCTTGGGAAAACGTCACCAAAACTAAGCTTCTTATCTGTACTTCTGTAGAAGTGTCTTGAAAAATGCTTGAAATCTTGAAAATCGTGCGTGAACTATACCAAAATTTAGTCTCTTGCTTGTCGTTCGAAATGCTTCAGGTTTTTGAAATCCTGGTCCTAAGGCACCAAAATCCGGCCTCCCCCTGATGTAGCACAGCTCTCTTTTTTGTGGCGTACATTAGTGTCACACCCAGGTTCGTCTTTATGTTTGCTACAGGAGAAGTCTATTGGAAGATTATAGACGAGGAGAAAGAGGGTCGTATCGATAGTAGTGGTGATGATGATGATGTCTTGCTTGCTGCTTGCTTCTCACGTGACCATGGTGCTCGTATCATAAAAGGGGCTGGAAACAACTGCTTTTTCTACACAGTCTTTATTATGATACTTCAGCAATGTTACAAACAACATCAATTATATTCTGAAAGGCGCTGTGTTCTCTCTATGGCTACATACTCGTAGGTTCGCGATGTCTTCTTCATCTCTAGTTACTTCGTTAACTGGTTGTGTCTACAACTGCCACCTGGCTTCTAGTGCTGTCAGGTATTAACGGCTTCATCGTCGACTCTAACATCTCTATAGTGTTAATAATGTGTCTCTGTTAACCATCCATGTATCTTGTGTGTTGTCTCTGTAGCTCGGTGTCTTGTTTCATGCCTCTCTCTAGTGATTGTATTCGAGGCTCAATATGAATGGCTCTTCTCCTTCTAGTGTTGAGTTGGCATCTCCACAACTGCGAGAATCATTGAGACTAGTCGCTCAACAACTGAAGGCATTCTTTGAGTTGAACTGACATCTCTACGACTGAAAGCGCTTCGAGAGTCAATGTGACAGGTCCATCCTCTCTTGAGTCTTGTCTACTGAAGAATTGCTCTAAGTGCTTTGTTACTCATTATTTATACTTGGATGCTGGAATGCTTTTTATTTGTTTTCTTCTCACTTGTTCTGCTTCTAGAATATTCCTTTATGCTCAACTTGTTTACTATGTACGTTCTCAAGTGGCATTTTTGAAAAAAATATCTCGATTGCATTGGATTTCATCATCCTGTTCTACGCAGATATAGTAGTTAAACTGACAATTGACGTCAATAGACTCCTACAAAACAAGGCTACTAAGTTCTCTCTGAAAGGGCAAGGCCAACAATGACTTCAAATATTATTTATAAAATACTAGCTGTACCCGGCCACACGTTGCTGTGGCATAGTTTGGCTAAATGGAAAATAGAGAACATAGAAATCTGTCTTCGCTTCACGCCAGCAATGTACAGTGCAACAGCTAAACCACAGCTAATAATACTTTGAATGGGTAAGGCAGTTACTGTAACTTAAATCTATCTCAGTAAACAGTTTATTTTAACCACCCATCTCCCAGTTCACCGACTACTTTTTCCCTCGTCGAAGTAGTTGGAAAAATTACCCTAGTGAAAAGCAATAGAAACAGGAAAAATACACCATAATTACGAAATGAACACATTTGCTAATTGCTGTAAACTACCCTATACGCGTTGCTGCAATAGAAATTGAATTGAAAGGAAAATCGCTTTATCAAAATGTAATTATATTGGATCATTGTGCCGATTTCATTTCTTTACGAAAAAACGGGATATTTAAAATGACATCGTAATTTTATTTACTGAAGTGCTTTCGGGTAAAAAATGTTCTTTGTTCTTTTGTCTGGCGCGTACACAAATAAATCAGAAGGTTTTCCGACGCGTGAACAGGCCACAAATAGCTGTCCATGTGAAAAGCATGGATGTTCCAAATGTAGTCCACATACTTGTAGCGATTGTCTCTGTGATTTGCCTATGGTCATTGCTAGGGCGAGTCGCACCGGAAACTGCAAGCGTCTGAATTCAAATGGCATGTCTTTTGGAATCATTGGGCAATAGTATATTCTCGCCCTTAAATTTCCAATTTAAAATTGTACCTTCGATGATTTTGGGTATCAGCTTTTTCACTAAAAGCATGGTACCATCGCAAAGACGTGGCGGATTGATGTTTCTAAGAAGAATGATAGGCACGCCAATTTTCAAGGTTAAAACGTAGGGTGGCATGCCTGGCAAATCAAGTGAATTAAAGAACTCAGTTGGATAATTGACAACTTCATCCTTATTCATTACAGTATCGATAGACTTATACGGTGTCACTCTGCCTGGTTATTTGTCTTGGCTGTTCAGATTCATGGCATACACATCCTTCTTTTTAGCTGCAAAGATAGCACGTTCACTGAGCCACTGATGATTTATGTAATTATGTGTGATATTAGGGAAAACTTCGTCCCATATAATGAGTTGACATACTTTGAGTACTTTACCCATTGCAGAATCATTGTTGATATTGCATGTTGGTGTCTCAGTGATATGCATATTTAAAGGCAACTTCAGTGCTGAATGCGCTGTTCGGCCACCATCCAAAAGAGTTGAGGCAAATCCAGAAGATGCTATTGACAGTGCAATATTATTTTGTGACCGTATGCATGCCAAAAAAAAAAAAAAAGCGAAATGAGAAAGGTCTTGCCTGTGCCTTCGGGTGCATCTATGAAATACAATGCTCCGTGTTGTCTTGCAACGGCATGCATAATTGTGTCATATGCTATACGTTGTTCTGGAACAAATTTTGGAAGATTTGTTTGAACAAATGTACCTAATTCGGTGACATCAAAGTGTGTCTCTCGTTGCAACTCAAGATCGAAAAGGTTGATTGCAGATCGTTCAGGTGGAGCCAGTCCCAGCTGAACCAGTGCTTTATTAGTTATTGCCAAACATATGTCCTCAATGCAAACCAATGCTTCATTATATGCATTTGGTGTGAATTGAAGGTCCTGATCTTGCTTCGTTTCACGCCAGCGATGTAGGATGTCTTCGCTCATGTAGTCTTTGTATTTTTCCCAAAGCTCTTTTGGATTGGATGGGAAGCAAGTTGTTAATATGATTGCAAATATTGTGCGTATTTGCTATGGTCGAGCAGTATTCGAAGCATCAGCGAGTGAAGTGTCCCAATGTGCATCATTTTCAAGAAGATTTAATTCTTGGCAAGCTTCACGGTAAGTAGCACATACTTTACCATAAACTGTTCTCAAGTCCTGGAAGGATGTGGGTCCACGTTTGTTGATTAAAAGTAATCGCAAGTAAAAGCATTCTGCATTTTTGGGATGAACAGTGTACAGACGGCCTAGAACATCAGTAGAATATAAATTAGAATGTCCGTCAACCGCTAGACCTTGCTTGCAAAGTTGAAACTTTTTAGCTGATGCATTCCACGTGTAGCATGTTAGCAGTGCAGAGTAAAGTAGTGTCTTTGCAAACATATCATCTCTACACAATGAGAAAAATCAGTTAACGTGATTGGCGGTGGTAACAATGCTCGTGCTTGTGCATTTTCTGTAGTGAAGTACACGCGCTGTCCATATTCAAGGTGCACTGCCAAATGAACAACTGCTGTATGTCGTTCATGAATTGGAAATGACTAAATGCGCCATACTGCTTCAATGCTACTAATGTAGCGCCCCAGCTGATATTGCTTTATTTCATCGATAGATGCAGCTGTATGTCCCACTCCAAAGACTGCCATATCGCTTCCTTTTTTGACATATTTGCAAATGTACTTATGTTTGCCAAGAAATGTTTCGACTGGCCTGTGTCACCAGCTACCAATGATGATAATGGTTCGGGAGGTGAATGTAATACTGGCAATTTAACTGTGTGGATCGGTGGGAGTCGGCTTCGGCTTCGTCACCCCTTAGAGATCTACACACTCTCCATTCCTCGTCTGTGTATTTCACTATCCGAAGCTGACTCCCACCGATCCACACATCACTTCCTCTTGGGACTACTCAGTGCTCACGCAGCACTTGAAAAACATGTCCTTTCGTTGTCCAGACTTCTTCGGTCAGTTTCCCTAATGTTTTTTTTTTTCAAATTAGGGAACCTTTTACTTGCGAATCCCGCAACGTAATTTATGCAATTATCTGCAAACGATGCAGCAAGGCATACACTGGGGAGACTGGCAGGAAGCTAGCTGATCGTTTCCGATATCGACAAGAAGACACTCAAACCAATCCCTCTTCATTTTAATAGCCCTGACCACAACGGTAAAGATGACATATCTGTCACAGCATTAAAATCTTGCTCTGACGATCATACTACCCGCCTCGCTTTGGAAAATCGCCTTATCCACAGCCTTGGCGTTCTTAGTCCAAGAGGTATCAATATCCAACATACCTTCATCTAAATAGTTCTAATCTTATCACATTTTAAATGTTAATTATTTTATTTTATTTCATATTATTACCTTATTCTATTTCTTATCAATATCATTTATGTATCATTAACACTTGCATTTCTTTTATTCCCAGTATTGTGACTATATTTTTTAGCCGTCGTTTATTTTATTTTATTTCATTTATTCCGCATCACATTTTTTAAATGTCGCTTACGTCACCCCTTAGAGATCTACATACTCTCCATTCCTCGTCTGTGTATTTTACTTGTGTTTGAAAAAGGCTGCCCGGCCGAAACGTTACGTTGTGTTGTTTTGTGCACGTTTTTCCTCTTTCCCATTTTGTTGAGCCTTTTAGTCAAATTTCTCTGGAATGCATTTTAGGTATAACTGTCACGATTCACTTTATAGAACTTGTTACCTGATCAGTTGTTACAATATTTCACTCATCCCTAATTTTAGACTCCTTTTCCATTGCTATGATGTTAATTTCTTTGGATCGAACGTTGATCATTCTAAGTAATACATTCTTTGATCTGGGTTAATGCAACACTTATTTAGTAATATACTTAATCTTTATACTCGTTATTCTTATCAATAATTTGTGTGCGTTTTGTATTCCTCTTGTAGTGGATTTGGTGTCAACTTATTCAAAATCGCCAACGCCATCTTGGGTTTATGACTCTCAAGACACCAACTGTAGTCCAGACCAGGAGACGGTTACAGTTTCATTGAACAGCACATTCTATTTTACATGGCTCAGACTACATGCTAATATTGCAGGTGGGTTAGGATCTAAGTACAGAAGTGTCCGTTTGCATTACTGATTAAAAATGCTGATTAGTGGTATTACCACTCGGCAGATTCGTTACATGTTTATCTTACAAAGTTTGGAGTCCCAGGTTTTCTCCTTCTCTTCTGCCAGTTACCTTATCGAAGTGTTCAGGAAAGATGTAATGATCTTCTGTGTTGTATGTGTTTAATAAGGTAATAATACTGTCTTTAATGATGTTCTTGATGCCGTTGTTCCGACGTATTCGTAATCCTCATCTTGCTTTGGATCCATTAAACGTATAGTTCTTCAGCAAAAGAATAGTAGTAGTAGGAGTAGTATAAGCAGTAGTAGGCGAAGTAGTAGTAGTAGTAGTAGTAGTAGTAGCAGCAGCAGCAGCAGCAGCAGCAGCAGCAGTATTAGTAGTAGTAGCAGTAGTAGTAGGTGAAGTAGTATTGATAGTAGGTGAAGTAGTAGAAGTAGTAGTAGTAGTAGCAGCAGCAGCAGTAGTGGTAGTAGTAGTAGTATTAGTAGTAGTAGGTGAAGTAGTACTAGTAGTAGTAGCAGCAGCAGCAGTAGTAGTAGTAGTATTAGTAGGTGAAGTAGTAGTAGTAGTAGTAGTAGTAGCAGCAGCAGCAGCAGCAGTAGTTGTATTTGTAGTAGTAGGTTAAGTAGTAGTAGTAGTAGCAGCAGCATCAGCAGCAGTAGTAGTAGTAGATGGTTACTGGATTGTCGTAGCGACAAGCAGAGAGGATCATTTTAAAGAGATTTATAGCCCAAACCCATCATAATGATAGGGAGCTTAGAAACTCAGTTAGAGCTCATCTGTCTAATATTATAAATAGTAATTTTTTCCAGGATATCATTAGGGTAGAGGATATAAAATATGTATTGCAAAAAAAAGCAAAAGACTCTGCGCAGGGGCCAGAAGGAGTCAGATATGCCCGCATGCATAGCATGAGTGATGATGGCATTAAAATGCAACCAGAGCATCAGAACAGCCTGAGTACCCAGAATATGGTACATACCTACCTAACCCCACTTCCAAAACCAGGCAAAGACAATTCCAAACTCAGCAGTTTCAGGATTGTCACTATTCAAAATACTTTTGGCAAGGTGCTATAATAGATAATTCTGTTAAACTACAAATGTTTTTGATGTTTGACGAGCTAGATTTGTATGGGTGGCCTTTAGGAGCGAGTGAGCAGTGCGAAGGCACATGATCATTATGGTCTGAGAAGAATGGCGCTGCAAGGATTAACCAGGGTATCTGGTAGACGCTTAACACTCAGGGAAAAGGGCGAGACGGATATTCAGTCAGACGGTTACTGGTACTTTCGCAACAGAAACCCTTCGTTTGCTGCTGAAGATTAGGAAGGAGCGCTCATGGGAGTGTCCCAAGTGCTGTGATTTCTTTCTTATTTCAACATTCAACATTCAATACTCTATCAGAACGACAGGCATACTTACGTTCGTGCCTATTATTACGCATATACGTATGTAAGTGTGTGTGTGTGTGTGTGTGTGTGTGTATGTATGTATATAAACAGATACGCATATACGTGTGTGTGCACGTTTTTGTTTGTGTATGCTGTAGACTGGGTTGGCTAGTAAAGACAATAAAACAAAGAAAATTGAAATATTTTGGTCACTTGAAACGTCATGGAGGTCTAGAGAGAACAATAATGGAGGGGTATATGCCTGGGAAGAGAGGAAGAGGAAGGCCAAGGAGAAGATGGGTGCAGGATGTGGCAGATGATCTCCAGATGGGTGTATCAGACGCAGGACATCTTGCTCATGATAGGAAGGTTTTCCGGAGGGTTGTTATGGCAGCGAGGTTCCGCGAGGGACATGCTACTGAATGAATGCTGTAGACTCGTCAAAGATGGTTAGCATTTAAAAACGTCTCACATTTGTTGAATTTTCCCCGTTCGTATTTATATCTACACAGTCAGTTCTCAAGACTTCAATATTCATCTGACGTTAGCTAACCAGACCTCTGTAACATGTAGCAACATGTACACACATAAGATCGACGATTCAATACTGGACATTCATTGTTTACCGGGTGCATTTTTTGAGGACCTCGTTATTAGCGGGGATGGCGTCAAATCTTTGTGCACAGTGTTCGTAAGTGGAGGTAAGAGTGTACAAAGCGCATCATTAATCATGTACATAACTTATATGAATACATTTAACAAAAATTTTAGTAATATGTTAATATAATTTTTGTTATATACAAAATATTACCGTAGGAAAAAAAAGGAGTGGGGGGGGGGGGAGGGGGGAGATAAAATATTTATTTTGATTTTGCATTATAATATCTCTAGTCTATATGTTTCTGCGGGACACGCGCCTTGCGTTGGTTTCGACAGTGGTATCAAGAAAGCCGACCGTCCAGGGCAATGGCAAACTATTGAACGAAAATTTGCCTAGAGAAACCTCACAACAGCCAGGGTCTGTTAGGGTTGGTTCTGCAAAATCCTGTAAAGGATACGCAACTAACTATATGTTTAGGTAAGAAGACTATCAGCACAGTACACAGTGTAACGAGATTTATTAATTAATTTTCGCACCAATATGGGAGGCAATTCTTCTTCTTCTTCTTTGATCGCCGGTTGTAAGCTCTGCTGGCTAAAAGTCCTTTGCTAGGGCCCGAGTTTTGCCTGAAAATTCGCTTTAGTGACTTTTATTTGTTTTTGGTGTGTGCAGTTATCGTTCCTTGCCGCTCGAACAGATTTACTTCGAAGGGGGGTTCCCAATTAGTCGACTCTACAACATGCTCGTTGCGGAGGAAGTGGCTCTATTCTTATTTTTCGTCACATGGGATCCCAGAACCCTTACAAGGATTTAATATTTGAAGGCTGCAATTTAAGTTGTTGAAACACTACTAGAGGTTGCTCTCCCGAGATAGTACTACAGAGGTTACTTTTCAATATATTGGGGGGGGGGGGGGCAGAGAGGGGTGGGGGGTGGGAAGAAGTGTTGGTCAAGTGTGGAAGTAGTCTAGCCGTTTGCTTTAGTCATTTAAGGTCGTGGGTTTCTTTCAAGGTCTGCATATCATTTAGACCAATATTCCCAAAAGTCATTGGGAGCTACAATGTCCGTGCTTTGTGCTGCGCTAATCTTCAGCAGAAAGAGATCGAGACATGTGAGATAAACAGGATTGTCACATATCACTCATGTTACGTGCCTGATTTAAGGATTTCTCCTTAAGAACCAACAGCACTCAGAAATAATTATGTTGAGTCGTTTGGCTCGTATTGGTCTAAGGGATGCCCTGTGGCCAATATACACTCAACTTATTTCCGGAGTAGGGCAACTCAAGTTTTGGCACTACAATATATATATATATATATATATATATATATATATATATTATATATATATATATATATATATATATATATATATATATATATATAAATCAATGTTTGTGTGTTTGCCCCCTATAGACTCGGAAACTACTGAACCGATTTAGCTGAAATTTTCAGGATAGGTTTGTTTTGATACCGGATGTTAAACCATCATGGTTTGAAATTCAACCTGTCACTGTTAGAGATAGGTGACCACAATTTAAGCAAAAATATCCGAAACTAATATTTAAATTGTTAGTGACATCTAATTATAGCCACGTTAGTAATTGCGCATGCGCCGTAGTCAGAGCGCAAGTCTTCCGCTATTCGCCGGCGAGTTACGTGCAGCCAACGCCTTCTCTAATAACATAGAGTAGGTCGTGGTACAGCAAACAAGACTATCTCAATATTTGTGTAGGCAGTAATTGCCACAATAACCATATTAAAAACGATTTCTATTTTCTGTTTTTTTTTTCAAATAACCTTCGATGGGAAGGGGGGATGGGGGGGGGGCATAAAGGACTATCTCGACGTCCGCGCAGACATTGACTGCGACATTAACTTCATTAACCGTGTTAGATACGTGCGATTTCTATTGTTGTGCCGTTTCATTAATATATCTGGAGTATCTGTCTATGAGAAAACAATTGCCTGCGGTTTTGAGTTGTGTTATAATCAGACACAGTAGTAGTAGGGTCACACATCTCAATAGTTTAGTTCTCTTTTTGTTGCTCCTATGAAGTGGCTGCTTGGTTGAATGGTTACAACACTGGGTTCTTGTGCGGGAGACCAGGGTTCGAATCCGCAGTAGTAACATTTTTTTTTACCCTGGACTAAAATAATATCCTTATCTGCTCTGTCGTGGTGACAGCACTAGCCATGTTGCCATTAATACTAAAAAAAGTAAATGGGTAAACTATTTGATAATTAAATTTGACCATTTTGCATACTTATGATTGCATTTTTAAACTTTCCGATTGCATGGTTACGCTGAAATTTCATAGCTTCCCATTTATTTTCATTTAGATTTAGTTATTTCATCTGCGTTGGAATTTTAAGCTGTGCTGTTTACCATGGCGTTCATTTCCTAATAATAGTGTGTGTTTTTTTCCCTGTATTTATTTGCTTTTCAAGTGTTTTTGTTTCTTTTTCTTCCAACTACTTCAATGAGGGAAAGAGTTGTCGGTGAATTTTTTTTTTTGAGAGGGGAGGGGGGGGGGGGGCAAACTGTTAACTGAGAGAGCTTTAAGTCACAGTAACTGCTTTACCCACTAAAAGTAGCAGCAGCAGTAATAGTTGTGGTTGGGCTGTTACACCGTAGTGCTCTCATGTGAAGACCGCCGATAAGGTTATGGCGTTCTTCTGTCGGGAAGCGAAATTATACATCCTAACCTGACCAGTCTGTGGCGACAGCACTAGCCATGCGGAACCAAATCTTCTGGCTCACGACTCTCTGTCTACTCCGATGGTAACACAGATAGCAGTGACATTATTTTAGCTACTGTGGTGGTGGTCGTGGTAGTAGTTGTACTGGTACTTGAAGGATAATGTGGTAAATATTACACTAGCTCCATTCACTACCTATTACAATTCCTGCCCCATATTTCAGTCCGGATGGACAGGGATGTCAATGTCAGTTACAGCAACAACAAAAATATCGACAGGTAATGATTTTCAAATCCTTCGAAGAGGGAGAGAGCAGTAGTCGGTGGAAGAGGAGAGGGAGGGGGTAATGACTTAAATTTAAGAGAACTTAAAGAGCTTTACACGTGATTTTCAAGTTCTCATTAACTTATTTGTTTATATTTTACTAATGCTACCTCCGCTTTTCTATTTTTTACAACTTACTTTGTTATTTACAAGTACAGTTGTAGCTTTACTTCCGTCTCCTATAAAAATACAAACAGCTTTAGCATGTGATAACCAAATAACCATTTTTGTTACTGTGCTAATAACACCATTTAAACGACCAATAATATAAAGACAAAATTATAAGGTGCGTGTTCTAAAGTTCGAAAACCAGACTATCTCTATATCTGTGCAGTCAATGATAGCGACATTATCTATATCAGACACGAGCGATTTCCATTGTCTTTCTTTTCCAAAAACCTTTGATGAGGGAGAGAGTATTAGGTGGATTTAGTTGTGGTGGTGAGGGGGGGGGGGGGGGGGGCGCCGTGGCGGGTATCAAAGACTATCTCTTATCTGAGGCAGACAATGATTGTATTAGACACGTGCGATTTCTATTTTCTTTCATTTCCATTAGCTAAACTATGCCTCAGCAACGCGTGGCCGGTTACAGCTAGAATATATATATATATATATATATATATATATATATATATAATATATATATATAATATATATATATATATATATATATATATAGATATATTCCTAGGCACACTTGGCTGGACACCCCCACTACTATAAAAAGATAGCCCCCATGTTATGATAGTCTACTATCATAACCATGTTAACACATATAACAATTATTATTCATACACACCTCAATGCTAAACAATTAAAAAGGTGAAATAGAGACACCTAAGTTAGCCATGAAAATGAATGTAAGTAATAAGTGTCAATTATTTACACAAATAAAAGAATAATGTTCCAGAATGTTTCTAGGATCAGAACTCAGAGCTACGACTCAGATATTGAAACAGCCAGACCGTCTAGAAGCGTATCTCAATGTCATCACCGGAAACAGTGGAGCTGTGGGGAATAGAGCCTGATACTGAAATAAAACTGTCACTTATCAGAGTTCCTATGTTGATGCTCCCCTCAGTCCATGGTGATTCGACTTTAGTTGACTTTGGTAGCTCTGCCTCAAGTTGATCTGGTCACAGAGGAGTACCTCACCATCGAGGACACAGAAACTGTATAGGGACTCACAACGTCTCTTCCACAGGTCAGGTCACAAACTGTCTCAGAGCCCAACCAGGCTCCTGAAGACTGGTACACTCGCTCACCGGCACAACCTCTGCAAATGTTCACTCGTCCTGGAGCTCACACCCACACTCTGGTCATGTTGAGGTAGTGGTACATCGAGCATGCCATTGTTATGTCTGGTACACAAACTGTTGTTAGCTGGTGTTTGGTTGTTGGCTGTTGGTAGTTGGTAGGTCTATGATTAATCTGTGCGCTCTCTACAGAGGTTTCATCCTGTCAGGAAAGAACGCAGAATTAGTAATCACCAAGAGGGTATCATCTTGACAGGAAAGAACTCAGAATTAGCAATCAGTTTCCATCACCCATCAGCCTACTCCACCCCTGCTCCTCTGTTACATTCCTCAGAGTGTACTCTCAAGACCAGAAGACAATGTCTTCTTTCATTTATCTGTCTGTTTAGTGCAAGAGATGGAAAGTCATATATATATATAATATATAGGATATGATATATATATATATATATATATATATATATATATATACTATATATATATATATAGTGAAGATAGATAGACACTATTACACATATATCATTCTCTCTCCCCCCTCACATCTGCACACAGAAACCAATGTTTACAGTCAGTACCCGTATCTCCTCCGTCTCCTCAGGCTATTCACTACACACCCATGGATTTGGGTCAAACACACTCAAGGCAACGCGCTAGTTTCCAATAAGACTGATCTACATTCTCCGTCCCCGTTAATACTGCGCAAATTTCTGTTGCTAGTTCAAAGGATAAATACTTGTAGATTTCAATATCTTTACCACTGGTGTGGGTTATTTAGAGCACAAACTATTTAGTCTGTACAGAAGAAGGTCTCAGGTTCAGATCCGGTTCTCTGGACATCAAGAACGGTCGAACTCTGTGCGATACAATAACCGATACCACTCAATCTACAGCAGTGAACCTTTTAAAAAGACATCATTTAAGTACTCATAAACTATAATTAACTCACCCTAGCTTAGGAAATGTCCTGGACACTAGAGGCCGCCTTCTCAAAGTATAAATTTATGAGGCGCCAAAGACCACATCTCATCTCTAGGAATGCAGGCAGAAGAATGCCAGCTCTAACTTAAGCTTGGCGTCAGTAGAAAAGAAGTCCCTTGTATACATGAGCAAGGAGTAAACCGGTCTCTATGAATATTCAAATAAAACCCTAGAAATCGTCAACCTACAGTTGCAAATTTGAAAATGACGATAAGTCAAAGCAACTAGAAGGTCTAGAAATTATTATTTTACCCGATAAAGATATAGATCAATATAAGGAACTATATACCTTTAAGGACGGGTCTAAGTTTGAAATTTTTCTGAGCGCGGGGTGTACCAGGTCCCGACTCGTTACTATGTGTAGTGGCGGTTCATTCCTTGACAACGATGCAATAAAGTCCTGTCTCCTCAACTTGAAACCTTTAAACTTTGTTGATGTCTGCTGATCTAGAATTATGACATTAATAACCTTATGTGTCTCTTAGCTTGAAAGTAGTCGAAACATGGCGAAAGGTGTCATTTGATTATTCTCAGGAGACTAACTTTTCTTATAACTCTTCTTCCTTTCCTATATATTTTCCGTGTATATCATTCAAGAAGAAGCACACTCTGTCCTAACTCACTTCTCCCTATTGTTATAGTTTTAAACAGCCACAGCCCGAGTATACTAGACGTTTCGAAGAAAGAACTGGCTATTTTAAGCAAAGTATACAACAGTGTACTGTATTATTTCACTAATACTCTGTTTTATTACCCGTTTTGCTGAAATTTAACTTCACAGATTTGATGAAAGAATTTACCCTTTCAACAACCATAACCCCCCGCCCCCTCTTTGCCCCAGTCTTTAAACTATAAAAAAATAAAGACCCCCGAATAGTGTTGGTTATGTAGGTTATCTTTGTCAAAATCAGTTTTCTCTGGATTAAGAGTTATGAAGACAGTTTCATAATTCAACATACCAGAGCTAGGTTAGCTGGAAGCGATCTACCTGGAGACCACTGTGTGTTGATCTCTACAAAAGCATGAGCGTCAAAGCATTGTAAAAGCAATGGCAATCTAAAACCGTCCTAACATTTACAAACAAAGGCAAACAGTCAACAGATAACAAATGATGGGCTTGGATTGCGACGTCGTGAAGAGTACGTAACTAAATGAGTCTTCGACTGTTGCAATGTCAAATCATTCGATTCACTGCTTCCGAAATAAAATGAATAGGTATAGAATCAAGTATACAACTTATAAAGTAAGCAAGGTGTTCATTTCAATGCATCGAATGACACTGGGTTTGTAAATGGGTGACCCCATCGTTTTTTTTTAGCCAAATTGACACTGCCCTTCATAGGCTTGTGAGTGTGAATAAATCATAAAAACTATTTTCAGGACGCAATGTTGCACTGGGACAAAACACGCAACAGACATCTGTCCACGGTTATGGGACTTCTTTGCTTGCGGTAGACGGGGATAGAAATCCCGAATATTTAGATCATAGTTGTACCCATACTGCCGAGACAAGAGACAACGCGCCAACGTTGACATTGACTTTTGGATGGCCACATGTTGTAAACAGATATCTCTTATTCAACAGAAACGGTGAGTTAACATGGTCATAATGTTTGTAAAAATCAAGTGTGTGTGTTTATGTCTCTCTGTGTGTGTATGTGCGTGTGTGTGTGTGTGTGTTTGTGTGGGTGGGGGTTATGTGGAGAAGGGGTTTCAATAAAGGGGGAGGGGGTACTGTGTAAAAAAAACGATGCTTTATGTCAAACGACAGGAGTACTTGCTTTGCAGATGTCAAATATAGTAGATTTAATTATGGGGCTTTGAGTCACACACTTTTTTTTCAAATTTATCTGTTAGATTTTCCTCATAAGGAACTCCTCATTTCATGTCGTTATATGTAGTTTTTGCTAAGTTAGTAATTTTCTGTTTACTAAGTAGGTATTTTTCTGTGGGATCCCATTGTGCCCAATTAATTTCCAGAGAGGTTCCCTATCAAGACTATCAAACGCTTTTGCATTGTCAATAAATCCAATGTAAAGTGGTGAATTCACTTGAATGTTTTGCTATATTATTATACGTAATGTGGCTATCTGGACAATGCAGGTTGTGTGTGGCCTCTTAGATTTTGATCAATAGCATCTTTTAATCTTCTGTTGGGAAGTATTTCAAAATATTCAGTCCATCTGTCCGTTTGATCTTTAGTATTGGTGAGCACTTTTTTGTGACTTTTTTGTTGTTGACTGATCCAGTTGACTGCCTATATTTATCTACTAACTTCCTCCTACTACTGTAACGAACTCTAAGGTTCCTTTTTGCGCTGCCGTCTCCGCTCTTGTGCTAGATCATCTAAATATTTATTTTTATCTGCCCTTTCTTTCAAACTTCTGTGCACTTTCCAGGAGTCTCAGCTTTAGTTACTAAAAGTAAAATTAATTATCTATATATATATATATATATATAAAGGCTGTAATGGATGTTTGTCCTTCAAAGGCCGAAAACACTGTCATCTTCATCGATTCGGTGTCCACTTTGCAAGCTCTGAAGGACAGTAAACGTTGCAGAACTGACCTAGCCAAGATAAGTACGGATACTGATCAGCTCATTACCTCATAAAACATCAGAACAGTGATGCAGTGAATTCCAGGCCAATCCGGCTCACCAGGTAATGACAGAGCTGACAGGCTGGCAGAGAAAGGAGCAACACAAGAACAACCACCCACAGCGACAACCCTACAGACAGCAAAAACACTTATAAAATATATAAATAAAGAGACTTGGTTGAATAGATGGGCCATGGGAGATACTAGAAGAAAGGTTTATAGACATATGGGTAACCCTAATCCTAACGACAGCATCAACCATTTAATAAGGAGGGACCAGGATACCATTTTCACACTCAGAACACATCATATTCCACTCAGTGGACATCTTAACAGAATACAGCCACAATACTCTCCAGAGTACCAGCTATGAAGTACCCCTACGAAACTTTTCACTAAACTCAAACTCAGCGAGACTAGAAAATCTATTCTTTCCGAGACCAGACAATTGGAACACATTGTACAAAGGAAGAGAACAGCTTTTGAAAATATGTAAATTCCACTACATGGCTTTGGCCCAAAGAGTGAAAGCTTATGCGCCGATGGACCGATAACAATAACAACATATATATATATACATAACATATATATATATATATATATATATATATATATATATATATATATATATATATATATATATATATCCCAATTTTTTCGTAATAATGTCCATTTGTTTTGATATAGTGTGTTGTACAATCTAACAGCATATTGGAATTACCTCTGCTCATCTTCTTTCGATATGGCCCTTAGATTAGTTGTTTCAGTCCTTTGTGTGTCATTAGTGTGGTCAAAATATATGTTATTGTTGGCACCTTTCCGTCTTTCCAGGCAAAAGTAACATATTTTGCTATGGGTAGGCATGGGAATTCCAGTTTACGGCGATGGCGAGTGTGACTAGCAAGTCTGCACTTGTTAAGAAAAGTCTTCCACAATTACATAATGGTAAATATGGATCATTGTTGCCAAAACATGTACTTAGCATGCTTCTTCTCAGATGGTCAGCTGTCGGTCTGTTTGCAATCATTTGCTCCTTTATTCCCAATCTTTTTCTTATTATCCCCGCACCCCCCCCCCCCCAAAACAACCCCCTCCCCCCACGCAAAGTTTTGCCCTAGCTCCAGGAACTCATCGAAGCACAGTGGCTGCGATGGATGAAACAGATCCCTCATTCGCCGGCCTTGTTTATTTCAAAGGAAATGTAGCACCAATACGTTTGGAACAAAGAAGACTGCAGGATCATACACACAAAAAATGATCTGTCTGCCTACCTGTCCGAGCTTCCGTCCTAGACCAGCTGACAGACAATGTTAAGGGCCTGGTCTATTTTGTCACAACACGAAGATTACAGGTTGCATTTCCTCTTCTCATGATAAGGCTAATATCCTCCACTATGCGCTTCCCTACCCGAAGCCGTTGGCACATGCAGAAATTCAGGTTTGGTATGCGCCGCCCAAAATTCGGCGTTTAAAAAAGACGAGTAGTACCGACAACTGTTTTACGGAAACAAACTCAATGCTCATCTGACAAGCACAATAAATCTGAGACAAACTCAGTATACCTGCAAAAACACTATACACATGCAAGAAACTAAATGCACCTGTAACAAACACAACACACGTGAAACAAGCTCAATACACCTGCAACAAGCATAATACACATGTTAGAAACTCAATAAGCATGGAAAAAACACAATAGAGCTGGAACAAACACAATACACATGGTACAAACAAAACAAAATACATATGAAACAAACACAATACACCTATCACTATCTCAGTGACAAAGTCAATAGATCAGTAACAAAATCAATACGTCTGAAACAAAAACAAATGAATGCAGCAAACATAGTGCAATTACAGATGTCAAAAATATATACAGGCTTCTTTTCTAGACAGAAGAGATCTGGAAAAAGCAAAGTAAAAAGTAGTCGCACCGACTGCCATAACAGACGAAACCGTTGAATCTGTTTTTCTGCAAATAAAGGAAAGTTGTTAAAATTGTCAAATGTTTGCTGATTGTTTGACAACTACTAAGCAAACATGTCAAGAACCTAAATGTCTAGGGTTCGATTCCATAAGCTACGCTGTAGGCTAATGACAGAAAAACACTGCTGACAAACACCCCCAAGCCAAACGCTGGTTGAAACACACACACACACACACACACACACACACACACAATCTTTATTATCAAAAGAAACTAACGAGGAGCAGAACACACCAGGAGTGGTTGTGCTCCTTATTCTGAAACCAAGCGCGTCTAACTTTGAAATCGCTTAGACGCGCCTTTTCACGTTCATGATATAAGCTCTGAGCCACTACCACACTCCGTACAGCGCTAACTCAACCCGCTATCTCCCGATGCCAAAGACGCTGTGGCACACACCAAGTGTGGCTAGAGGTGCGCCGACAGATGCTAACGCCACAAACAATGCTTGGTCTGGCTTATTGTAAAGGTTTATAACTACTAACAAAGTCTAACTACTCTCCTAAATCTAAGGCCAGCTAAAATCTAAATGGCACGCTTATTAGCTACCTTGTAACGTAATATATCACACCACGAACAGTACGCATTACAGCTAATAACTACGACGGTACATTTCTACAAGTCAATATGATCTATCACTGAAAATATCACAACGGTCCGGTCCGACATCAAATCAACCCCACAAGTCTACAGCCAAGAAAGTCCAGCACTGTGCTTTGCATAGCAGTTTTGTTACCCGTTGCAGTGTCCACATGACGGTTAGTCTACGCGAAATCTGCCGGCCTTGAACAAGCCACGTTTAGTTTCACCCAGCCTCGCTCAGCCAACCGACAGTTATGCGTGTGTATACACGTACTGGGTTTAGCTAAGGGTCGCAGGGTCTATCTTTAGGATTTATCATCATCATACTGAAGTGTCCCATAACTGGGACGACCCCTGACAAACTTAAGCAAACCGTTTGCCTTATTGTAACCACCCGTTTTCGGAAAATCAGATCTGCGCGAGAATTTCCTCTCTTGACTACGGAACACAAACAATACAGTATCGGGATCTTCTTTTAAACGGAAAAGATTAACGTTTTAGGGAGACAATGGGTGCTGTCTTATTGCTAGTATTTGGTTTACGATCCTGAATCATAGCCACTGTTCCTTTCAATAGAATTGTTTTCTTTTTTCTCCTCACGACGTCGATGACATTCACTATGCAGTTCCACAAACTGTTTTCCTGGAGGGTATGAAGGAGTAAAAGGCACAGAAAACAAGTCTGTCGATCGAGGATGGGGATTTAATTTGATCAACAACAACAAAAACGGTGGCTATATAATACTTTATCTTTGCTCATATATATATTGTCAAGGAATGACAAGCCATTACACATGACTTTAAAAGAGTCAGGACTTGAATTACCTGTGCTCGACAAAACTTTCAAACTTGGACTCGTCCGGAAAGGTAAATAGTCCCTTATATCGATATATGCCTTTATCGGACATAATTGTAATGTCTACATCTTCTAGTTGCTTTGACTTAGTGTCATTTTCAAATTTGCAACAATATAATAAATATTGCGGGAGTTATTTAAACATTCTTGGAAACCAGTTTACTCCTTGCTCATGTATACACGGAACTTCTTCTTACCGACGCCTAAACTTGAATTTGTGCGGCATTATTTCTGCCGGCTTTCCTAGAACTCAGGCGTGTCCATCGACGCCAGTATATTTCACTTTAAGAAGGCGGTCTGTAGCGCCTAGGACTTTTCCTATGCTTGGGTAAGTTAATTATAGTTTAGGAGTATCCTAAATACAGCTTTTCAAAAGTGGTCACTGCTGTAGAGATTTTAGAATCGGCTATGGGATCACACATAGTTCGACCGTTTTTGATCTCTAGAGAAGCGGATTCGAACTTAGACCCTCCTCTGTACAGACTAAACGGCCTATGCCCTAAATAACCCACACATATTGATAAAGATAATGACTCTACAAGTGTGTACCATTTGAATTAACAACCGGAGTTTGTGCATCAGAA